TTCTCTAGAAGTTATACTGACTAATACAAACAACTTCCTACTTTTTAATTTTTACACGATTTAGACTCAAGCCCACAATTTCTACACAGTTCTGAAGTATGAATAGTTCAAAGGGCTTAGTTGTGAGCAGTTAAAATAGAGATCCTGACAAGTAGCTTCAATCCCCCAAATCCCCTCTAAAAAAGTGACAGTGGACCAAGATAGGGAAGCTTTTAAACTCACAATGCACAGAGTAAAGCCCCACAGGTGATTCAGTGTGCAATTGAGAGAAAGACTTTTTCTTCTGTTTTGGTACCAGGGAATGCACTCAGGGGCACTTGACCACTGAGCCACATCCCTAGCCCCCCCCCCGCCCCTTTTTAATACTTTAATTTAATTTATTTATTTATAAGTGGTGCTGAGAATCGAACCCAGGCCCTCACACGTGCTGCATGAGCACTTCACCGCTGAGCCACAACCCCAGCCCCCCCAGCCCTTTTTTTGTATTTTTGTTTTGTCTCACTGAGTTGCTTAGCGCTTTGCCGTTGTTGAGGCTGGCTTTCAACTCACAATCCTGCTGTCTCAGCTTCCTGAGCCGCTGGGATTACAGGTGTGCACCATCACCGTGCTAGAAAGACTTCTATAAATACTAAAGCTCAGAGGAGTTTCTGACAAAGTCTTATTGGAAGTTTATTATGCCATGTCAAAAATTTCCTTTAGCCAAAATGAAGACTCTAATGATGGAATGTCCAGGGATTTTTCAAGACTACAAGCTACCTGCACGGCCAGAGTTTCTTAAAACAGTCCTCCAAAAATGAACAATAGAGTTACCCTATGATCCAGCAATCCCACTTCAGGGTATAGATGCAAAAGAATTGCAAGCAGAGACTCAAACAGATATTTGCATACCCATGTTCACAGCAGGATCATTCACAATAGCCAAAAGGTAGAAGCAATCCAAGTGTGCATCCATGGATAAATGGATAAGCAAAATGAGGTATAGTCTTACAATAGAATGCTATTTGGCCTTTAAAATGAAGGAAATTAGCTGGGTGCGGTGGTATATGCCTGTAATGCAGTGACTCAGGAGGCTGAGGCAGGAGGATTGCAGGTTCCAAGTCAGCCTCCACAATTTAGGAAGGCCCTGTGGAACTTATGGAAACCCTGTCTCAAAATGAAAAATAAAAAGGACTGGGGATGTGGTTCTATGGTAAAGTGCACCTGGGTTCAATCCCCAATACCACCCCCCCCCAAAAAAAAAAGAAAGAAAGAAAAGGAAAATTCTGACACATGCTACAACATAAAAGATATTGAGGACATTCTGCTAAGTGAATTAAGCCAGATGCAAAAGGACATACTGCCTCATTCCATTTATGTGAGGTATCTAGAGTAGTAAAATTCATGGAGACAGATAGACTGGAGGGAGGAGGAAATGGAGAATTGTTATTTGAGGAGTACATAGCATCAGTTTTACAAGATAAAAAGAGTTCTAAGTGTGAATGGCTGGTAATGGTAGCAGAACAATATGGAACCCACTGCCATTGAACTGTACACCTAACAATTTTTTTTTTTTTTTTAGTATTTTACCACAATTTTTAAAAAGTTTTGAAATGATTGCATGAGTACTTCTACAATTATATGACCACATTCTTGCTTCATACAAGTCAGAAGACCCACCTATAATTGTGATTCATTTAATTGAATAAGAGCCAAGGTACACATGGACAACGAAGGAAAGATAATCAGTTAGCAAACATCCTACTGAGTTCAAGTAATTTTTATTAACATCCTGGAGGTGAAATATGTCACTACTTTCCTATTTAGATTGTAGCCCCAAAATTGCTAGTGAGGTAGCATTGGAAAGAAAACAAACACAACAACAAAAAGTCATTCTCTGCCAAAGTCTGATACCTGTGTCACCTCCAATCTCAAACTACAAGTCTGGATGCTTCTCTAAGGGCTTTTGAATTAAACTGGCTACATTGAGAAATTTGTCAAGTCATTTGTGGGTCTCATAAGTTCACCAGTGGAGCATAGAATGTGTGGCTCTGATGATAAACACTGACGTTCTCACCTCTTACTGGGACAAGTGTGCACAGAGACTGGATACCAATAGGGTTCCAGGACAGACTCGGGATGCAGGCAATAGTAAATGGCAGAATGCCTCACACATGGCAAAGTATGGCTACTTAAACCATTGCGTAGCTATTTGACTGAAGAACGCAAACTGCCTAAAGTTCAGTGAGGATATAGGCCAACAAGAAGGAGAAATGTCATGTGAGCAAGGATTTGGGGCAGCATGTAGATTCAAGAGATTTTTCGTACCCATGAAGGAGAGCCTGAGGGCTCAGGGTCATTTCTGTTAAACTGATAGACTCAGTGTGGTTCTTGTCGGCTGTATCTTCAACTTCCTCACACACATGCCCACAGCAAACCAGTAATTTAGGGAAGGGAAAGTTTACCTAT